ACCCCGGTTTATATGTGTGTACTTAAGTTGACCACATTAGCCTAAACCCCTGGTTTATATTTGTGTACTTAAGTTTTACCGCCAGAGCCTAAACATTTGGTCAATATCATTGTATTGAAGTTGACCACACGAGCCTCAATCCCTGGTTCATATTTGTCTCATTTAGTGTCACCTCGCAAGCCTAAAGTCCTGGTGTTAATTTGCGTACTTTAGATTTACCTCCACATCCTTAAACCCTGGTCTATGTTTGTATACTCTAGTTGTACCTGATGAGACCACTACCATGGTCTACATCTGTGTGTTTTATGTGTACTTTGTTGAAAGCATCCATTTCAAACTCGACATTGCTGGCATCTCCGATATTGAAGCTTACCGACCTATCTGGCAAAAACTGTTAAGCCCGGAGAACATATGAAATAAGACAAAACATTGCCAAATGATGAGATTGTCTTATTATTTCTGTTTCTTTTCAGTTCCTTTTTTTGTCCTTTCATAACAATTCTTAGATGCCTTTTGAATCTGTTATAATTTATTTTACCTTTACTTTCGGTCAAACGTGAGTGCATATCTTAAACTTTGTCAGCGAATGTAGTTTTATTTTAAGACCCTTTGAATACTTTAGTTAAATCATTAACACATTTTTTATACGCAAAAAAAAAGACTTACCGCTGCATTTGAGCATGCTATTTCATCAAATGGATAACATAGGTTCAGTGTGTAGAGTTGATCATCAGAACTAGCCATATCTTGGAACCTGTAGACAGAAACAAAAACTAGTTACGTTTTATAACGCACAGTGATACATCCGAATTGTCTCTAGTCCTGTTAACAAGTACCGTAACACGGCGACAAAACTTATTCTTGCGTATTTATGTTTCGACATAGGGTCTACGGTAATAAAAGGTATTATGCAATAGTTCATTTTCATATACATTTTTGTAAATTCCAACATAGGACAGTAACTCTATCTTAAATATATGGTAAACAAATAAATAGATGGATTAGTCGAATAGGTGAGCCAAAGAACACTGTACACGTTTTTCCAAGTCCAAGATCTCCACATGATGCATTTCGTTTGTAAAACGATGCTAAATTCGGGTGTATTAAGTAGTTGAAAATGAATGACGTAGAACATTCTGAAATAAAGAGAGGAGAATTTATAATTATGAATCGACTGTGAAATATTAACGCAATCAGCAGGAATGTCAGATATGGTATTACTGCGGAAAGGGAATTAAATTTACGATCGTAAGATTCGTCATAGAAATAGGTTGTGAAAATATCACTTTTGTCATACGTACGTGTCTCGTGTATGAAAGCAATGGAAGTGAGTTTGTGGTATCTTGGATTTCAAGCACGGACACTTATCACTACTTACATCGGGGTTCCATCCAGATTACCAACTGAGGAAGCGTCAATGTCTCCGGAACCGTCATCCATCGAACAGGAACATCGTTTTTTTCTTTGTACAGATCAGCGCATGCGTCAATGTAAATAGGACCAAACACACAATCACCACACTTCAATGTTGTGATGTGTTCGTGATCGCCAGATAACACTATTTAACCTTTAGAGTGATGTATCGAAACGCTAGAAATGTCTGTCTGTATTGTTATTTTTCTTTCGTATTGTAAATAGTTTGGTGCTATTCTTTTGTTTTTTCGGTTATTTTTTCATTATGACGATCAACTTATAGGAGATATGAAAAGTTCCGGATTTCCGATAATGATCTTTATGTATACTTATTGCATATATGGTGCAATGTGATGTCAGTCTCAGCAAGTTTACACAATATTAATGCGAAGTAAAACGAGAGAAAAAACGATTTTATATTGAAATATCGTTGTTATATCATGCATTATTTTTTGTGCACATTCTCGGGCAGTAGATACTACTGGTACCTGTAGTATGTTCCTCGATTTGACGGGAAACATCATGGCTGGTCCCACGGGTGCTGCAGGTTATGCCTACCTTGCCTCAGCACTCTGTTACTCCTTTGTTTAAGTGGGGCTTGAAGATGTCATTCTATTTTGCATTGGCCCCATCTCTGAGCGTGATATTATGTTGTATCAACTATGAGCTGATTTGTGTGCTGGTATGTTGACGATGTGTTTTTCTGTATTGACTTTAAGTTCAGATTGTGTGCTGGTATGTTGACGATGTGTTTTTCTGTATCTGGTTTAAGTTAAGATTGTGACATTGTGTTTTGGCAAAGCAGATGTTTTTGTATTTTACTTTATTTACGTTTACTTCTATACAATCAATGAAAGCCCCGTTGCTGTTATATTACCATAACGGACTACATACAATATGTCATTGCGTTCATAACACGGTAAAGGCAATACTAACGCTGTTTAATCCCTTTGTATTTGTACAACAAAAATCTAACTGTACAATAAGTAACCGGTAGCCGTCCCTTTGGTTAACACCGATGTTACTTTAAATAGTTATATGCATGACCTCAAGGAACTAAACAATACGACAAATATTTCTCAATTTGCCTACTCTCCTCTTTCAGCAGAAGTTTAATTTTGATTTGACCTTTTTGACCTCTAGCGTCAGCTGTATGCAGTGTAATTGGGATACTGCACCTATTCTGGCGGATTAGTTAGCTTGTCGTAAAGTTGATGGCCTCATTAACCTCTTTTGAGTTGTGGCAATGTTCATAATATATACATATTTTTTTGTTAAATTCATGAAGCGTTAAGGGGTTTTATACCCCTCCAGTCCTGTCCTGATAAGCTCTTAGATAAATGCAGCCTCAAATGAAATTACAAACCTTAGTTGTGCTGTCCATAAACTAGTTTAAAACAATATACATATATTGCCGATAACCTTTCTTGGAAAAGATAGTTTCCATTATATGAGAACCACGGCACTACTTCAATTAGGTATAAGGTATTGTGACGAGTAAAAAGTCAAAATCTCTGACAGAAACATATTTGAGGAAAGTATGCTCAGGATGGATTAACAATTGTTTTTAATTCTTCAAAGTTCGTCTTCTAGCAATTCAACCTCTGGAGTATACCGTGTCACAATACCACTGTTACCTCGATTCCCTGTAACTGTGGTACTAACAACGGTTGGTAATGGTTCGGATAAGCGAATAGCGGTACATGTACCATTGTGTATGAGAAATCCTATGAAATTAAGAATTTCAATACTAACGAAACAGGTTTGTACATGTAGCATGATCTACTTGGATATTTACGCATAATTCAAAGATTTACTTGGATATTGTTTGCTCTGGTGACAATTGAAGTGATATATATATATATATAGCTACTCTACCTATGCTTAAAATATAATCGTCCTCTGTAACTACCCCAAATCTCACTATGAGGACATGACATTATATATTTACATGGCGGGTGTCGTCGATGAAGCAGAATACGTTTACCTTTCGGAACACCTCGTCTTATTCTCCTTGTGTATCCATGTAGATCTCCTTTTGTTTATATATTGCCCCTAGTTTAACACATTTTGAGTTAGAATAATGGTTTTGTTGATATTTTGGTATTTTCTTGGGGTTTTATTATTAGTATTGCCCCCGCATACAAAGAAATATTAGAGAACGTACATTACAAGCCATGATATTGGCCCACCAAAACGTTGGCGAAAACGCATACTTGAAGGAAGGACATTAAACATGAACCTAATGCTTTAGGTCCTTATTTTGCTAGGCCGCGAAAGGTATCTTCCTTAGTTGAAGAGACGTTCTCATGTTTTCACGACCGACCTGTGCCCTATTGCGACAGATGTCAGTTTCACAGAGAGAATATGTGATACAAGTTCGCCTGAAGGATCCCCGTACCACTGTCAAAGTATGTAACTAAATGTCGGAAGCTGTTTCTTCTAGCTTGACTAATGCTTTGATAAAACATTTAAAACAAATTCTTACCCTGCGGGACTTTAATGAGAAAAAGCAAGAAGAAATAAACAAGATACAACCAACAACAGTGTTCCGAGTGTAAAGGATTCAGTGGGGCTAGACCGAGATTCGAACCCTGGACTTCAGGGACCAGTTGTTCAAAAGGTGATTAGTCTAATCATTTTACCGACATTTTTCAATCTCTAATAATTTGGTCAATATACAAAGTAAAGCCTATACATTTTGCATGTGATTTACTCTGATGTTATATTAGATATCTGGAGTTTTAAAGATACACCAAAAATAAAATTTGCGCTAATCACCTTTTGAACAACTGGGCCCAGATTGCTTATACTATCCCTCTAACCGACTGAGCTACCTGGTATATATATACACCGGTGTGTGTCAATGGCAATTAAGGGGAGGCTAATGAATATAATAATCCTTAAATTCCTACATGAATATATTTGCATATATTGAACAATCCATCTATCACATTGTTTTTGCATATAATTTAATTTCAACTTAAAATGTCTATCTATAAATGTTATTTATTATAAAACAAATATGTTTATTAAAAAATAACCGACACATTCCTTATAATTATTAAACAGGATATCACACAAACACATCAAATACAAATGAAACGACAATAATTTATGTATAAATCGTTTTAGTTATAAACGCTGTTTTAACATCCATGCTATATATTCAAGTCCCTACGTTACATACAGACATATATACCGTTCTAACATATTTTCCAAGATTTGCTATTAAACATCGTGGAAAATGTTTAAATGGAACTGTGTTGTATGCCATCGTAAATGTTAAAAACATGAATTTCGATCCTAATATTTACGCTATGATGAATATTTACGTTCTAAACGTTCCGTTTGAAATACATTTAAAAAAACCTGTTTTACCAATGGACGTAATAGTCAATGGTGTGGGCAACAATATTTTGCTTTCGATGGCTACCAGTTGGCACGTGGTGAGCGTAAATCGGAAACCGTTTCGGGAATTTCCGTCATAATTTAAATTTATTGGGACGCATGATTGGTTCCCGATTACTCAATCAGTTTGACGAAAAGACCCGAACAGTTACCTTTCTGACAATCGCGAACCGTTTGAATTTATAACAATATCTTATCTAACCATTAATTGTTGTTAGTTTTTCTCTGTCAGATGTAAAAGAGTCATTGAACCTTAGATTTTGTTGTATTGGTCTTTTCGATATTTCCTTGTTGTAAACAAGCAACCATCCTGCAAAATAAATGAAATTCAAAACCTTTTGTTATACACTAAATTATCAAACTTCTTTCTAAAATCATTCTCAAACAAACGAAATGTACAATGTGGCAAGTAAGAATGCATTGTTCTTAACTTAGAAGATAATAGTATATTCAATACATTCATGATTAATCTCGAATTCTAAATCGAAAATAAGGAGACTTGTCTGTTTACATATAAAGATCTAAGAATCGCGCGGTAGCGTAACGGTAAAATCGACAGGCTTGTCTTTTATATCATAACTAGTAAAGGCCGTGTCATATCAAACTATTGAACTCGTTAAATACATTCAATATCACATGGACACGAATGTGATATTCTATTAATCATATAACATTCATAATTTGAAGAAAAAAAACCCCAATTACTGTGTGTTATAAGCTGACTCTATACAGGTCAAAACAAAAGTACTCCGATCATAATATTGTCGTTCTGCGTAACGGAAAGTAGCTCAAGTTTTTTTTTATTTAAATAATGAACAGTTTTAAATGCAGTGAAAATAATAATGACACAATTAAACATTTCAAATTCATCCAACAGCAAAAACAATAAACAAATGTATCAGAAAAACATCAGTTAATAAAGTTCACAATTTTGACCAATCGCAGCATCTATAGGTTTTATTACAGGCGCGTATTACCATATTTACCACATGGCCGTCTGACAGTGAAATGGGTCAGTTATGACTTGTGATAATTATGTTTTAACATCAATTAAATGTTTTCAACTACAATGTTAAAATTCAACACATGTGTTAATATTTGTCGATATTTTTTAATATGTATCTATTTGAGGGCACAAAGAAGATCGACCTCTATATGTTTTCTTTACAATGCTGTATTGACAAGTGTCTTCATTACAGTAACGTGTATGAGAACAACATGTTAAACCTGTTGTACTAACCTTGATGAGGCCAGGTAAACCTCTCCAGAACGAGACGTTAGGTACGACCTCTGAACCATGGGCGCGGCGAACCATCTTCATGAATAAGATTCCTCCAATCAAGTACAAAAATCCCAACGATAGAGCGCTATAAGATTAATGTGTATACGTTCATTGTAAGAGCATCTTTAACACAGGGACTTTACATTGAATGGTACAATACTACAAACTTCAATAACTGACAACCTTTTGCTGTGCTAATTTCATGTGTTAAAAGTTTAATATAGTTTGGCGACGTTATGAAACAAAGCATGCATCTATTGATGTTTGCTTGATTGCATTTTAGATGGTTCCGCTCTCAATAAGCCTACATTTAGTATTTTCTCTTATTCCCTAAGTATGTCTTAAAATTGAAGCTAGACATGCGGTAAGCTATTTAAATGTCTCATGTATAAAAACCTGAACAACCGCTAGACTCGATCCTTTCCGTTGAGGAATACAGCGTAGCTACACCCAATTTCATCGTCCGTTTTATCGTTACGCTGCTGCGCGATTCCTTTGATTTTCATCTAAGACGTCTGACTGGTTTACATGTATCATTTACAAGGTGTCGCATAACAGGCATTCGATTTTGCTATGACATATTCAAGGGGTGCAAAGATATATGTGTAAAGAGAGTTGCCCCTTGATTTCAAAGGGACTTGATTGACTCTCATCTTAACTGTTTATACATTAACACTATTTCAGTATTATCAACGAGAACTAAAAGGAACGACTTTCACAACAAAGTTAATGTTTGAGATCGATATACGTACCCGATGACAACTATGGTCCCTATACTGATATCCCCTGAGGCCGCTCCCTTACCAGGAAACGGAGGTGTGCCGCTACATTGCCCCGGACATCCACATTTAGAGTATAAGAGGAATTCCTTGTGATAAAACGTAAATATAGATATTTTAATAGTAGATATACAGAGTTAAAACTATTGATTTAGTTGAAATATTGGGGTTATCATATTTTTATTACATTTTTTATACATTTATATTGTGATTTATTTAATTCAAATATAATATTGCCACAATAACATTATAAAAATGTGTTTGAACTGTAACATGGACCGTGACATAAGTCCTTGAAAATACCCCTGAAAATACGCAAATGATGCATCAGAAAGAATTTGCATTGCCATAATACCTTCACAAAGAGGGGAACCGTTGGCATCACCCTGGCGTACACCCATAAATGTATAAATCAATTATAGGCCACGGCGGTATTATTTGATAACCGATCAGATAATACAACGTGTTATGCACATCAACACAATGCCCATCAATGCTCACGTGAACAAAAAAGTCAGTAAATCGTTTGACATAAGAAGTATATATGAAGGACACATTGACTGAAACGTCTCACATAAAATAGGGATCCCGAGCCGGTCTGTCCATTGGCGGTTACTAGAGGGGGTTCGGACGAGGGACTACATATCATTCTCACGTCTGTGGTTCTAAAGACATTTCGTCCAAACAAAATAAAACAGGGAGAGTTCAAGCTGGCAATGCTATCCTTCTCAAAATACCACCCTACATCGTCTAAAAATTTTCATGTTCATAAAATATGCATGTTTTCAAATGTCAACTTTTATTGGTAAATACCGCGAACAGTGTTATGTCATAATACAATTACAACTGAGGGAAAGTAGGACGTAATGATGGTTTTTGACAACATCTGAAAATTACAGATAATTGCAATTAGTGTCCAGAATGAACACAACCTTTCACATTCGTAATGTGAAGTATTTTGTTTTCAAAACTATGGATGACAATTCATAACAATACTACATGGTTTAGTTTTTTGTTTTTTTTATCTTCACAAATAAGCATTATTTATTTAGATTTCGTGAATACGCATAATGTGCAGCATTGTACCACATAAAAGTATACAAAACCTCATGTCACACCGATATGAGGTAAATGGTTGTATAAAATCAGATGCTATTTTGATTACCTGGTGGCGCCAGTACTATCTATATTTGTGTAAATGACGTGAACCTGATCCAGATCGTCTGTCTGGAAACCAACGTTGGTGGCGTCCCCTACCGGGAAACTCGTAGACCTGTCCAAGGAAATTTGACAAGCCTGCAAGGTTAAGAACATCAACACAAATATGAACAGGTAGAAATGAATATCACTTCATATGGGGTCATTGAAAACAATGGAAACAGAGGTTTGGTTTGGTTTATTTAGTTTAACGTTCTATCAACAGCTAAGGTCATTTAGGGACGTGCCTCTTTGTGTGTTGTGTATGCGTGCATGAGTGTGTGTGTGCTGGATGCAGAGTATTTTGATGTAATTGCCTATTTGTAAAAGCACGGATCTGATGCCGACTTTATAGTGCTATCTAACTGAAATACCATGCCGAAGGCACCCAGGACAGCATTCTGCCCGGTCACATTATACTGACAACGGGTGAACCAGTTTCTGCCATTATCCTTAAGGACATTCCAATATGGCTGCCACACCAACCTGTATATCAAATTTAATAATGCATTCCGTTAGCATTAAACAATCCCTGTCACAAAATAATCCTCCTCCAATATTTCTCAAACATAATCGAGTTACATGCACACTAAATTTCAGAAAAAAATATTCAATAACTAATGAAAAAACTCCCTTTTTATGTGTTCGTTTTCCAAGCTGAATATAAGTCACAATTCAGGGGGAAAAAAGCATTTGACTTGTAAATATCACAAGGTTGGATGTCCATTGGGATGCATTTGTCGAGAAAAATATAAGAAAATTTGTCAAATCTCCAGAATAGTGGCATAAATTTCCCCTGAATAATTCACAACTGAGCACAAAGCGAACAAGGCTGAGTGAGGTTGGAAAAAAGCATACAAAGCAAGTAAGATTTTATCTGTACACTATCATAACTACAGGTTATCACTCAGGTAATATGGCTTGACTTGTATCAAAAGTCTTGTTAGCTTGATGAATTATTGTAAAATATCCAATCAAAATACATGTTATCATTCTCGAGATTTGAAGCATTTTCTTACAATTTTCTCGACAAATAGATCTAGTTGAAACTCATCCAATGGTAAATATTTAGAACTTCAGATTTTTGAACTGTTGTTTTTTCAACAAAATACTCGGAAAAAAATAACTATAAATCGTCTCCAAAATCAACATTTTCAATTTAGGGAGAAATATTGCGTTCAGTGTTTTTCAATTGTTGAATTGTTAAAAAATTTACCATTTAATTGCAAATTTTATGCTTCAGTGTGCTTGTTCAAGTACTTCATTTGAAATGAGTGGTGGTAGCCATTTTGTCATTGGGAAGTACCTTAATGCTGAGCGTTAAGCAGGGAATAACAACTGCCATTTTTAAGGACTTTGGTATGTCCTGGCCTGGGAACAGAACCCATTCCTTGCCTCACAAGGGCAAACACTGGGTATTGCCAAGGAATGCGTTAGAAAATGAAAGGTATATAGATGTAGAAAGAAAGATAAAGATCCCAAATGTTGCAATGGGTACAGCAGATTTATTTTGGTTGCTTTTGTGTCCCCAAAAAGAGGGAAATTCTTTCTCCACATTAGTCGCCTCTAACGATACACTCTTCACGATCCACCACTTGCAGAGGTGGGAAAGGGATGTTTAAGCCAGATGAAGGTCTGTAGGGCTGGTTGGATGGCGAAATGGGTAGCGCACTTGCCATTCACCGACGCGACCGGGGTTCGATTCCCCGATCGAATGTGCAAAGGTATTGGATCACCTGCCCGACTACGGGGGTCTTTTCCGGGTACTCCGGTTTCCTCCCACATTAGGACCCCCGCGCGTTGACATACGGAAAAACAAGAGCCATTGCATTGGTAAACCTCATAATAAATATATAGGGAGAAATTCATTTATTGTACGGAAATATTGTCGGTATAGATGTTATTATTTTATTGAATCAATGTAAAGTACTATTAAGTAACATTTACTATCATATAATATAGAATTAAATACAAGAACTTTTTTATGTCAAATTGTGCACAAATGAATATAGAATATGAAAAGATTTTTCTATTTCAAAAGAGATATGTTAAACAACTCTTGAAGTTTACATCTTAGCGAGAACCTGACGAAACAAACAAAACAAACAAGAAAGGACCGTCTTTTTCTAGATTTTATGACATTCTATTATTTTACACTACTAGACACGGGGTCAGACTATAATAGCCTCAAAAGTGGCTCCGATTACATATAACAGTTATCCAACTCCTTGAAACTAATTTCTTAAAATCATATGTAGAATGGCTCTCAGTCTCCGTGACTAACATTTATTAGTCTACATACTCTTTGACCATATCCACACATGTTAGACCTGCTCAAGTCCAAAGACAAGAACAAATTCATATAGACTGAAAGGACGCCCAAGTCATAATTATTATTTCATGTGTTTGTATTCGAGGAGAAGGCGTTAATAAGTTGATATATTTCGAGCCCAATCCTCTACACGAAAATGTTTAGGCAATAAATATGTTAAAGCTATTTTATATTAGACATAATGTGATCGCATTTGAGATCGCTTGAAATGTGTTCCTGTTAAACGATTAACAGTAGCTCGAAAAAAACCCAGGACGAACACGAAACTTACTACTGGGTGGTCTGGTGGCGCAGTGGACAACGCACCCTCATTTCACCGAGGCGACCGGGGTTCGATTCCCGATCGGACGTGAAAAGGTATACGTAATGGTTCACCTGCCCGACTACGTGTTTTTTTTTAACCCCCAGCCGCGCTAACATCCGGGCCAACAAGAACGGTTGATATAAGTTGAAATAACTTGTTGCATATTTATGTTATAATAGATAAAGTGTATATTGATAAAAAGACTTACTGCAGCTTTGAACATAAGATAAATGCTTAATGATAACATACTGAATGGAGAGTAAAACAGACTTACCGCAGCATTTGTACATGACAACTCGTTAAAGGGATAACACAAGTTAAGAGAGTACAATGATCCGTCCAAAGAAGTCATATCTTTAAACCTGTGAACAGGAAAAAAAGTACCAACCTTATTATAAATGCTGCGTTTGTTTTGACACGAACAGGAATCGCAAAAGTTATTTTGCGAGCTTTCGAAAACGTCTGTTTCTTTGTCAAGCAACCGCTGAAAATAACCCACTAAGCCACAGTGTGCCGAATCAGTAAAGTCAGCTGTTGGAAAACATAGAGACATTTCGCCAAATATCCCTCTTATACTGCAGACAGTCGGGGAGACGGGTAACATGTTTCCCCATTCCGCCCCTTAGTCGATGTTAAAAGTTGGACCATAGAGATGACTCAGCTGGTGGCCCCCCTTCGTCTCTGTTCTTCGATTCCCTTCTCTCCTTACCCAGATGTATTCTTGGATTTTCCTGACTTTCCAGTTGTCCTCCATTTCAAGTACTTTCGAGTAGTTTGCGTCTTAATGTGGTTGTGTGTGTTAGCATGGTCTGTAACTGATGATTTATTGTATTTTTTCTCCATGTCTAAGTGAAGACCTACTGTTTCATGGCTTCAATGTCTGATTTCTGATGTTCTATAGTTTGTTGTTTTCAGCATTTCAGAGTCGAGACACCGGTTATTTACACTCGTTGCCTGACAACAGAAACAGACGTTTTTGACAGCTCGCAAAACAAGTTTTCAATTCCTGGTTGTGTTTTATAACAGGTGATCTTTTTGAGGATTGAAAATATTTCATATGTTTACATATGAACACAGACAGGGGTCGGCGGAACGGTTATTTTAGGGACAATAGCTGATTATGTATTAGGGACTGTTATAATTGTATGGAGGACAAACCCTCTGCTTTCAAGATTGTTCAATAATCATACGTTTCAATCAAATGATCCTTTGATTAAAACGTATAAAGGAGGGGAAATTAGATTAAAAGCTTCATTATAATGTAACATACAGTATTGAAAACAGAAGATTAGTCCTTCATATAGTCATAACAGCTAACGTTCCTACTACACCGTCAACGTAGTGTCCCTCAAACAACCGTGTCGATATATCATTTCAAATTTGAACAGCTGTATATTATTAAAAGTAGATCTTAGACACATACAGTGAACCACAAAAGCGTAAGAATTTATTAAAGCTATATTTGGACCTAAACTGAGATGTTCAGAGTAAGTTTACACGTTTTCGGCGTTTAAATAAGTTTTCGGTAAAAATGCCATCCTCAATAATGGTATTTCCTTTCTTTTTAAGTAAACCGGTGACAACTTTGCAGTTGCGATATTTGAAATTGAATAGAAATAATATATGTATGTTTAAATTACATTTACTGGGCTGTTGTAATTCAAACTTACATCGGGTTTCCATCCTGGCTGCCGAGCGTGGAAACGTCAATATCTCCGGACCCGTCCTCCATTGAACAGGAACACAAGTCTTTCTGTGTACAGGTGAGTCCACATGTCCTCGAGAACAGGACCATGATCACTACCATTGCACATATTGTCCGAAACATAGCAAACCGCAGATTACAGCTTTACAACATCACTGAACTCACAGACAGCATAAAATGAGGAACACCGCCGATTAATATCTTTCAATTGTTCTGTTTTTATATTTATGTATGATATACAAGCTAGGTTTATCGTGGTATACTACATGCATACATATAGATTGTACACGATATACATGTATATAGATAACGCTTGTTATCGTATTGTTGTTTATCTTTTAGATACAGCAATGCACAAGTTGCTCACTGAGTTCTATCTATGGAAGAATGTCTACAATATATATTACGAATATGAAGTTATAATTCTGAGAATGTTAACAATAACTTTGTATGAAATTATTCCGTTTCAACGAAATATGAAAATGTGTACCTCTTTATTTAAGTTAACAGTTTTGGAGGGTGTTGCAGGTGGCGCAGTGGATAGCGCACTCGCCTGTCACAAAGACGACCGGGGTTCGAATTCCCGACCGAACTTCAAAAAGGTATGGGACACCTGCCAAACCTGTGGGTTTTCTAGGGGTTCTAATGATTCCTCCCACATTAAGACCCACTGTGGTCGTGTCATCCGGGCATATAATGGTTGATATAAGTTGATAAAAGTGTTTCATTATGGTGTAGAAAGTTTAATTCCGTGAAAAAAGGTGAAAAAGTGATGTGTATGAATTATCCAACACATGAAATTTAAATTCCCAAACGTATTTTGGTAAAGGCTTCCTGAGAAGTGACGTTTGGGAAGTTACATTTTAGCTGTAAATCGAATTTTTGTATAATGGTAAACGTTTCTTGAATACATATTTCAATCCTTTTCCAAAGATAGAGAATATGGTTTAGTGATATATTACCATAAATTTGTTTGTGTCTTCCTGATACGATTCGGCTAAATAAGTAAAAGAAGAAGAAGAAGAAGATAACCATCCTCCAATGGTGATCACTGTGGGAGAGATTTGCGTCAAACTTGAAAAACTGACATTTTCAAAATTATCCTATAGAGCATATATCACGTTTAGATATACACAAATGTCGGGGTTGATGCTCTGTGGAGATGTTTGTAACAGAGATATTGGGGTTGATGCTCTGTGGAGAAGTTTGTAACAGAGATGTTGGGGTTGATGCTCTGGCTCCGTGGAGATGTTTGTAACAGAGATGTTGGGGTTGAGGGTCTGTGGAGATGTTTGTAACAGAGATGTTGGGTTGATGCTCTGTGGAGATGTTTGTAATAGAGATGTTGGGGTTGATGCTCTGTGGAGATGATTGTAACAGAGATGTTGGGGTTGATGCTCTGTCGAGATGTTTGTAACAGAGATGTTGGGTTGATGCTCTGTGGGGATGTTTGTAACAGAGATATTGGGGTTGATGATCTGTGGAGATGTTTGTAACAGAAATGTTGGGGTTGAAGCTCTGTGGAGATGTTTGTAACAGAGATGTTAGGGTTGATGCTCTGTGGAGATGTTTGTAAAAGAGATGTTGGGGTTGATGCTCTGTGGAGATGATTGTAACAGAGATGTTGGGGTTGATGCTCTGAGGAGATGTTTGTAACAGAGATATTGGGGTTGAGGCTCTGTGGAGATGTTTGTAACAGAGATGTTGGGGTGATGCTCTGTGGAGATGGTTGTAACAGAGATATTGGGGTTGATGCTTTGTGAATATGTTTAACAGAGATGTTGGGGTTGAAGCTCTGTGGAGATGCTTGTAACAGAGATGTTGGGGTTGATGCTCTTGCTCTGTGGAGATGTTTGTAACAGAGATGTTAGGGTTGATGCTCTGTGGAGATGTTTGTAACAGGGATGTTGGGGTTGATGCTCTGTGGAGATGATTGTAACAGAGATGTTGGGGTTGATGCTCTGAGGAGATGTTTGTAACAGAGATGTTGGGGTGATGCTCTGTGGAGATGGTTGTAACAGAGATATTGGGGTTGATGCTTTGTGAATATGTTTAACAGAGATGTTGGGGTTGAAGCTCTGTGGAGATGCTTGTAACAGAGATGTTGGGGTTGATGCTCTGGCTCCGTGGAGATGTTTGTAACAGAGATGTTGGGGTTGAGGGTCTGTGGAGATGTTTGTAACAGAGATGTTAGGGTTGATGCTCTGTGGAGATGTTTGTAACAGGGATGTTGGGGTTGATGCTCTGTGGAGATGATTGTAACAGAGATGTTGGGGTTGATGCTCTTGCTCTGTGGAGATGTTTGTAACAGAGATGTTGGGATTGAAGCTCTGTGGAGATGTTTGTAACAGAGATGTTAGGGTTGATGCTCTGTGGAGATGTTTGTAACAGGGATGTTGGGGTTGATGCTCTGTGGAGATGATTGTAACAGAGATGTTGGGGTTGATGCTCTGAGGAGATGTTTGTAACAGAGATGTTGGGGTTGAGGGTCTGTGGAGATGTTTGTAACAGAGATGTTGGGGGTGATGCTCTGTGGAGATGTTTGTAACAGAGATATTGGGGTTGATGCTTTGTGAATATGTTTGTAACAGAGATGTTGGGGTTGATGCTCTGGCTCTGTGAAGATGTTTGTAACAGAGATACATTTAGAGTATCACTGTTATCCACGATGACAACATTTTACTGCCAAGACGATAACCTGGATGTAAGTCTTCAAAAAAGAGAGAACAAATAATGTTTTAGGTACCCTAACCTACCCTAGTTTTTACCTCCGACCCTAACAATTTATACCACTCGAACGCACTCCATCCAGTGTTGGGATTAATAAAATCTTTCATCTCAACCCGAGGGGAAAAGATTCTTAATTTGCCAAACACGAGACTTTGCCGAGTGTTTGGCAACTTAAGAATCTTACCCCCCGAGGGTTGAGATCCTCCTATCTCATCCCCGAGGGAGTAAATGATTATTTTTCGCTTACCCTGTTGTTCCTGTCCAAGTGTAAGACGAAGCATATTGTTTGTAAACAGTAACACGTGGGTAGCGTATTAATATTATATGTATGCGTCAGACGGTTCACGCATAATATTTTAAACATTTTAAAATCAATCCAATCTTCTTTGATGTCAAATGTAAACACAACAAAATTAGCAGACGAACTTGTGTATGTGTGTGACCACATAAAAGTAGTCCTTCTTCCGGGTCACATCAGTGACGTCAGGTTTATTGTGGAGAACGTGCAAAGAGCACGTGTAGCTAGGGTGAGACAAGGAAACCCCCCACCGGTAAAAGTAAGGATACATCTGTCCAGGGTAAGAGAAAACTTGCTCACCAAATACAAACAAATTGATGGATCATAGGCAGGTAGCAAAACCAAATTTAAATCCCATATTCTTATTTAAAAAACCCGAACAAAGTAGGTTTTAGATAACATGACTGAAAAATAGGGTACATTGTAGGTCGGTAGAGGGTTATTTTCATTTGTTTTTGGGGTTAGGTTGGAGTCGGGGTGGGGTGGGGCTGCCGGGGCTGGGAATGGGGATGGGGTCGGGGTTGTTTTTAATGTAAGGAAATACAAAAATCACCAAACATAGTTATTCAGACCAATTTCATTCATTTTCAATATATGTGTAGGTCTTTTATGCAGTACTAGGGATAACATTGTGGTTTTGACTCCTACCTATATAATAGAAAGGGGTCATAGAGTTGCCTACGATTTTTGGCGCGTTCAAATGGGTTGTCTATCAAGTGAAAAACATTTTAGGGTTCAGATTTTTGCCATGTGTTTATTATATGGTCCGGTACAGGGACCCATTCCCAATTGAAAAATGGCCCTTCGTTTTCCCAATGTCAGTCTTTATTTTCCCAACTGGATTAAAAAGCATGTAAATACAAGTTTCCAGTCTGTATACGTGCAACATTCACCATCCATGAAGGAACATTCAAAATACATAAATAACAAAAATTTGAAATTGAATACACAAAATCACTGAAAACTGATGTTTAGAAACAGCTAGAGGAAGCTGTGTTTTGTTAATCAAATTTGCAGGTTTTATTTTTTCCAAACTTATATTTTTCCAAACCTGTACATGTAGGAACACTGATGAAATTTCCCAATTTTTGCCAAATGCTGATGATATTTTCCCAATCCTTGCCCATCAGGGGGCCCTTTCCCAAAATAGCTGGCAAAACTCCTGGGGTTGGAGGTATGAACTAGGGTCGGTCGGGGTACTTGAAACTTACATCTTATTGTTTGTCTTGCACTTATGCCTCAGACATTCCCTGTACATGTATTATTCAAAACTTCGCTATAATATATTTGTGTTTAAAAGCGAGGAACATTTGTATTGTGAACTTTTTGTGGATTTATCGTTAAAAATATAACAATCCAAAGACAAAGACAGTTTTTATTTTATCGTTATTTAAGTTTTAGAATAACTTCTTTCCTCGGCGATTTAATAAAGGGGACACCAAAATTGAGAAGCCGTGCCCCCCAACCCTCTTCAAAAAAATAATAGAACCTCATAATATTTATGAGATGTTCTACGATATTTCTTTCTTTCAGCGGGCATAGATACTGAAAGAGAAATCCATGTTAAAATGTAAAAGCAGCTTGATATCTAGCATGAGTTTGTATATATGTTTTCTGATTTATCAAATGTCTTACAAATGTAATAAATTGTACTTCAATTTGCGTATTACAAGTTATATAGCGCATATATCTGTAAAATACATGTGTATTGCAAACAAAATGTTATATAATTTACTTCACTTAATTAATTTTTATTATATATCTGAAATTACACATCATCCACGTACACCACATATTTCACCGGTAAATAGTGTGAGCGTGTTTTACATATATGATTTCGATTGATATTTTAAGACGAAGCTTGGTGATGCTTATATATCGATTGTCACTGTCGATTTTTTAGGGATGTGTTAATTATTTCGGTGATTACTATGGCAAATATAATTATTGTTGACTAATCGTCTATCAAAGCTGTACATTTCAGTAACATGGATACATTTTTGTAGCGGCATTAATTACCTTTGATTACTATATTTGCACGACGCTTGATAAAACAATCAGAAAAATGTATGAAACCCATACAAATTCTAGTGTTTTTGTACATCTGATTTAGGTCAAAGGTCAAAGCACCTGCGTTACATGTACGCAGCAACAAGTGATGCTGACTGCCTGTTCACGCCTGCACGATTTATCATGCCGCTACAGAATATAATTTGACCGGCAATGGCAAACGATAGCAGTAATTCTTGCTGTACTTTGATAGATAGGTATACGCTAACAAAGAGGAGTACGGGTTTATAGAATGTCGATGTAACCTTCGCGTTCTTGTCAGCCTGAAACAAAGCGGAAACACTTGCGTTGGAATCCATTGCGAACTATTTTTCATGAAAGCTACATTCATAGACAGGACTATATGAAAAGTTTAAAAACTTGTCAACAACAAGCGAAATGGTGAATTTATTATGGAGGTACGAAGAGGAAGACTACCACGAAGTCGTGTAGGCCTTGGCATTGAGGATAATGGGTAAACTAAATACACATATCGCCAGTCTGGTGCTGTGTTTCACAACTTGGTGTGCAGGTAAGAAGGCGCTTTAAGAAAGATATGTTATTCCCTGACCCCTTGAATGAATGAATGGCGTGGTATACACGTGCCACGGGTGATAGACGTTTTACTATTGTGAGATTCTACTGTAATGTCAGTGATACTCCTAGCATACACATGTATCGGCTACAGCTGCTGAGAATCATCAAGATAGCGATATATGTATTAGACTTACACATGTCCCACTATTTAACACGGTACGGTTAAAGTCAATATTTTTATATAGCCTTATTCAGAAATTTAAGTAAATTTAAGAAGAAGACAGTGATTTCATTGAATTTATGAAAGCATATTGGACAGAATATTTTCTGAACCAAGAAACTTGGATCTTAGCATTGTTTGAAGGAAGTGTAACTGATATTGTAACATTGTTAATTATAATCTATATATTCAGCTCGTTCATGGTAATGTCTAATATAACCATATTTTAGCATGAAATGGTAACTTAATTTTATGTTAAAAAAAGTATTTTTAAAGTTCACTTTTCATAGTTGTGATTTTGTTTATTGTATAAAGGTTGTCTCCCTTTGACCAATAAAAATCCTTCATTTTGATTTTGTAAACAAAGTGCTTCTAATACTATGATTTTATAAATTTAGGAAAGTATTTGTACTAAGTAATCCAGAGACAAGTTAAATAAAGATCATACATTTATAGTATTTTAGAAAATACATTCACATACAAATGTCCCAGATGTACCTGGTACAATAGACACAGATGTACCTGGTACAACTTAGCCATAGATGCACCTGGTACAGTAGGCATATATGTACCTGGTACAGTAGATGCATATGTACCTGTTACATTATACATGTACCTGGTACTGTAGACACATATGTACCTGGTACAGTAGACACATATGTACCTGATGTAGTAGACATAGTTGTACCTGGTACTGTAGACACAGATGTACCTGGTACAATAAACACATATGTACCTGGTTTAATAGACACAGATGTACCTGGTACAGTAGACACATGTACCTTGTTTAGTAGACACAGATGTACCTGGTTAAGTAGACACAGATGTACCTGGTTTAGTAGCTGACACAGATGTACCTGGTACAGTAGACACATGTACCTTGTTTAGTAGACACAGATGTACCTGGTTTAGTGGACACAGATGTACCTGGTTTAGTAGACACAGATGTACCTGGTTTAGTAGACACAGATGTACCTGGTACAGTAGACATAAGTACCTGGTACAGCAGATACAGATGTAAATAGTACAGTAAAAAGATGTACCTGGTACAATAGACACATATGGTACAGTATACACATATGTACCTTGTATAGTAGACATAGATGTACCTCATACAATATACACATATGTACCTGTTACAGTATACATATATGTACCTGGTACAGTAGACATAAATATATCTGGTACTATAGATAGAGATAAACCTGGTACAGTTGACACAGGTGTACCTGGTACAATAGACAATTATGTACCTAGTACAGTCCACACATTTGTACTTGGTACAGTAGACACAGATGTACCTGTTTCATTATACATATATGTATCTGGTACAGTTGACACAGGTGTACCTGGTACAGTAGACACATATGAACCTGGTATAGAAGACACAGGTGTACCTGGTACAGTATACATATATGAACCTTGTACAGTAGACACAGATGTACCTGGTACAATAGACACAGATGTACCTTGTACAGTAGACACAGATGTACCTGGTACAGTAGACACAGATGTACCTTGTTTAGTAGACACAGATGTACCTGGTAAACTAGACACAAATGTACCTGGTATAGTAGACACATATGTACCTGGTATAGTAAACATACATGTACCTGGTACAATAGACACATATGTACTTAGTACAGTAGACACAGATGTACCCAGTACCGTAGACATAGGTGTACCTGGTACAGTCATCACAGATGTATCTTGTATAGTAGACACAGATGTACCTGGTATAGTATACATAGGTTTACCTGGTGAAGTAGACACATATGTACCTGGTGAAGTAGACACATATGTACCTCGTGAAGTAGACACAAATGTACCTGGTACAGTAGACACATATGTACCTGGTACAGTAGACACAAATGTACCTGGTACAGTAAACAAATGTACCTGGGACAGTAGACACATATGTACCTGGTACAGTAGACACACATGTACCTGGTACAGTAGACACAAATGTACCTGGTACAGTAAACAAATGTACCTGGGACAGTAGACACATATGTACCTGGTACAGTAAACATAAATGTACCTGGTACAGTAGACAGATATGTACCTGGTACAGTAAACACATATGTACCTGGTACAGTAGACACCAATGTGCCTGGTACAGTAGACATAAATGTACCTGGTATAGGAGACACAAATGTACCTGGTACAGTAGACACATATGTTCCTGGTACAGTAGACACATATGTACCTGTTACATTATCCATATATATACCTGGTACAGTCAACACAAATGTACCTGGTACAGTAAACATAAATGGACCTGGTACAGTAGACACATATGTACCTGGTACAGTAAACACATATGTACCTGGTACAGTAGACACCAATGTACCCGGTACAGTAGACATAAATGTACCTGGTATAGGAGACACAAATGTACCTGGTACAGTAGACACATATGTTCCTGGTACAGTAGACACATATGTACCTGGTACAGTAAACACATATGTACCTGGTACAGTAGACACACATGTACCTGGTACAGTAGACACAAATGTACCTGGTACAGTAAACAAATGTACCTGGTACAGTAGACACATATGTTCCTGGTACAGTAGACACATATGTACCTGGTACAGTAGACACACATGTACCTGGTACAGTAGACACAAATGTACCTGGTACAGTAAACAAATGTACCTGGGACAGTAGACACATATGTACCTGGTACAGTAGACACACATGTACCTGGTACAGTAGACACAAATGTACCTGGTACAGTAAACAAATGTACCTGGGACAGTAGACACATATGTACCTGGTACAGTAAACACATATGTACCTGGTACAGTAGACACCAATGTGCCTGGTACAGTAGACATAAATGTACCTGGTATAGTAGACACAAATGTACCTGGTACAGTAGACACATATGTTCCTGGTACAGTAGACACATATGTACCTGTTACATTATCCATATATGTACCTGGTACAGTCAACACAAATGTACCTGGTACAGTAAACATAAATGTACCTGGTACATAGACACATGTATACCTGGTACAGTAGACATAGATGTACCTCATACAGTAGACACAGATGTACCTGGTACAGTAGACATATGTGTATCTGGTACAGTAGACACAGATGTTCCTGATCGGTGAACACTGATGTACCTGGTAGAGTGGTTTAAACCTTTGAGTACTTAAAGATAAACTGAACAAAACATAGAAAGACAGTTCTATCTTGAAATTGTACTTTGGTTGAAAACTGAATTCAAAATTTTCCAGTACATTTACTCACCATGTTTTTGTTTGAATTTGATGTGTAATAATGCAAAGGACACAATATTTGTTTTCTTTTAATTTTTGCAGTTGCCAGTGACAGCAGATGGTATCAAGGCTGCTACCAAGATCTTTCCCTTGGCAGACAAGATGCTCCAGATGGGGACAACATGGATACCAGGGCTTCAAAATCAGGGTCTGGGAATGTGACTGACCAAAATAAGTGTTCTGTCGTCGAATGCTGTAGAAAATGTTTCTTACAAAGGTAAGATAGATCATGTTAGTCCATTTTTTAGGTCACCTGAGACAAAGTCTCTAGTGACCTATTGCGATTGCCTTTTGTCCGGTGTCGTTCGTCGTCGATCGTCCGTCATCCTTCCGTAAACAATTTACATTTTCGACTTCTTCTCCAAAACCCCTGAACCAATTTCAATGAAATTTTGCAGAAACCTTCCATGGCCAAAAGGTCAACTAAAATTGTCAATTATATGGTCCCCAGCCACCAGGGGCCTGAGAGGGGGGGGGGGGCAAAAAAGGTCAAATTAACTAAAATTTCAAAAGTCTTCTTCTCAAGATCAAGATATGGTAGAATCAAATACTCTTCATATATAGTAGGGTCTTAAGGTGCTTTACTAAAATTGTGAATTTCGTGACCCTGGGGTCTCACGTTTCCCCCTGGGGAGGGGGTAAACTTTACTATAGTTTATATAGGGAAATCACATTTTGGACCAACATTTGTTTAATTTCCATTGGAAGTAATTCAATTTGGGTTAGCATTATCAGTATTAGGTAGCAGTTTGATAGTATGCACCTATGAGCCCTGACTGACCCCCAGGGGCTGATGGGTGGGGCCAAAAAGGGTTGAATTGACTGAAATTTCAAAAATCTTCTTCTCAAGACCCAGATATGGTAGAATCAAATACTCTTCATAGATGGAAGGGTCTTAAGGTGCTTTACTAAAATGGTGAATTTCATGACCCTGGGGTCTCGCATTTACCCCTGTGGAGGGGGTAAACTTTACTATAGTTTATATAGGGAAATCACATTTTGGACCAACATTTGTTTAATTGCCATTGGAAGTAATTCAATTTGGGATAGCATTATCAGTATTGGATAGCAGTTTTGATGGTATGCACATATCAGCCCTGACTGACCCCCAGGGGCTGATGGGTGGGGCCAAAAAGGGTTGAATTGACTGAAATTTCAAAATCTTCTTCTCAAGACCAGATATGGTAGAATCAAATACGTTTCATAGATGGAGGGTTTTTTAGATGCTCTACCAGAATTGTGAATTTTATGACCCTAGGGTCTCACGTTTACCCCTTGGGAAGGAGAGGGGGGGGGGGGCAAAATTTATTATGGTTTATAATGGCAAATGATACTTTGAATATTACATGTTGATAACTTGATTGGAATTATAACCCTTAGTTGACAGTTTGATACTTTGAAAATTTTGAGCCATCCCTACCCCCAAGGGCTAGGGTAGGGCCCAAATGGAGTCTGTGTGCTAAAATAAAATTCCTTTATTTTCCTTGTTTAGAATCAGAGGTGCTAGTTTCAAATACTTTTCAGTCTTAAATCTGCATGCTAGATATTGAATAAGGCGGTTTTATTGTTTTTTGTCACTTTGAATAATATTTCTGTTCATGTTAAAAAACAAAAATCAACTCTCTGTATTAATATATCAGGTGACTGTTTCTGTTACACATTTATTCTGACCTCTATATGTGGCAAGCCTCTATTATTTTGAGGGTCAACAGCCATTTTAGGAGGTCATGTATCCCTAAATGACAGTTAACAGAAACCCAGCATTGGTCAACAAGAAATACAGTTTAGCCTGAGAAAACAGATACATAATTTATGCTATCAGCAAATTCCGAATGAATTATTGAAGCTTCTTCTTCAAATGCAAAATAATGCAAAATCACATGATCCCTCAGTTATAAAACCTTCTTGTATCGTGGATCTCAACATGGGTGAATTGCTGGTGGCTAGTTTCTCCCAGATCATGGGTTTTGCAACTGTAGAAAGTTTGAATGTTTTAGCCCAGTTTTATTTTCAGTGCCCCCTAATGACTTGTTGAACCAATGAGTAATTACCCCTAGTTTCTGTGATGTTAAATAATTTCTAAGATGAATATATATATACTTCAGTTTTTCTGTTTTTTAAGCTGCATTTCGACATATTTCTTTTAAAACTTCCTTGGCGGTTGGACATGAGTCTCATCAATATGAAATTATTTACCAACTTTTTAACCTCCCTTATATGTGTAAAACATCTATTATACTCATCTGTAATGCCCAAAATGTTTTTTTTACTAAGTATGTTATGGATCCGAGGATCCATAGATACACTGGGACATTGCAATTGGAGCACTAACCAAACGTGTGCTGTCCCTCCCTCCCACCAAACCTGGGAACATTTGACTTGTTTGTTTATTCCTTAGCAAGAAATTGCTTAATGCATATTGTGCTTTTAGAAGTCCACAGACAACTGCAGAACTGTTCCTTAACTAACAAATCAATCATTAGTTCAAATTTACTTTAAATTAAATTAAAAGTGCTGATTCATATTGTCAGAAATCATTAGGCTTTTAGTTATCATGATATCTAGATGTATTTTAATTCACACTAATTTTCTAATATGTTCCCAACACAGATTTCTGAATTCACTTTGGTTTGTGATATTTTTAGTAATTTCTTATTTGTTAAAATGCTAATATTTTTCCAGAATAATTTCTTTTTTTAGTTACAAAAATATATGAACAATGTGTTGTTATGGCGAGTGTTAAAGAAGTTTCGTTCTGAGGAAAGAGGGTAGAAAATCTGGCATGCATGGTCATTCATCTGCCCAGGGTCATTCATCTGGCCAGGGTCATTCATCTGTGAAATGAGGTAGCTCAATGGTTTGAGCATCTGTCTGTAGTTCTGAGGTTGTATGTAATCCCTGCACCTTGCTCTTGGTGAGCCCAGGTGATTTCCAAATACATGTTTTGTACAGGTCTTGAAAAAGCCTTGAATTTGATGTCTGTCTTGAAAATCCCTTGAAAATTACTGTAAGCCTTGAAAAATCCTTGAAAATCAATGGGAGTCCTTAAAAAACCCTTAAAAATCAGTGAAGTTAGTTGGGTATCCATTTTTGTCATATTAATTCAGTATTTTGTAAACATTCGTCGCAAACAATGATATTTTATTTAAACAGATTGATCGTCAAATTGCAGATCGTAATTTTTAATAATTCAGGAAAATATATACCGATGAAGTTTTCGGTTTTACTTTTTCAATCTGTGTCATTACTGCGTTTGAATTGAGTAAGTCTTGTAGTCAAAGTGCCAAAGTGACATACGGTCATGCGCATTAAGAGCATTGTTAACAGGAGGGGAACACGAACCGAACAACTGCGATGGGGAAGTGTGTTTTTAACGTTAAATGGCTTGACGATCCCAGATTTGTTTGGGTGAGGGAGTTCGAGGGTGATAGCATGTACTTCTGCTATGTGCTCGCTGTGTAACAAAATGGGCAAGATGGGGGAATACGCCCTTTAATCATATATGAAAAGTCAAAACATGTGAAAATTTCGGGGACCACTTCGACTCGGCCTTTGACAGACTTTTATACCAAACCCTCTACTTCAACGGTAAGTGTAACACAACATGTGTGTCAAGGGTTAATGGTTGGTTAAAATTTTATTCTGTAACCTCAAGTATTAGGATCGGTCACTATCGTTTGGTCTCGCTCTCAGTCGTCTCCGAGCTGTCTCTAGCTGTACTAGTTCTAGCCCATCTTTAGCTGTCCCTAGCCCTTCTGGCCTCTTCTCTACCTGTCCCTTGCTCCTCTCCCCCATTATCCCCTTTCTAGGTTATATTTATACTGGATTATAATTGTTTCGTGCATAGTAATCTGGATTAATATTCCCGATATACGTAATCTATTTATACAGGTTGTCCGAGCTATTCCCAATATAATTAAGCCCTACATAATATAGATTGTCAGTTTCAGTTACACAAATATAGATGGTCAGTTTCAGTTACACAACGTCGTACCATTGCACGGGTTGTCCGAGATATTCCCGACATACGTGATCAATTACACAACACTGTAACATTGACTGTCAGGGGTCCATAAGCCCCACATGCTGAGTCAATTAAGACTTGAAGCGTTGTCCGAGATATTCCCGATGTAATCAATTCTATTCCTGATAGATATTCCCGATGTAATCAATTCTATTCCTGATAGATATATGTAATCTATTTATACAACATCGTAACACTGACTGTGTTACACAAGTACATTGAGACCTACCTCGACTGTTCCTAATCCAAATCCTAACACGGATGCTGATGACTTTCCTTCAAACCCAGCCCCTCAAGGCCTTGTTGTTCATTAAAATTGTTTGTTTATTTTGTGATATAAATGAACCCCTTGAATTTTCAAAATTTGTCTTGAAAACGCTTGAAAAGTCCGTAAATTTTGAGGTCAAAAGTTTGTATGAATGTAAATTTACTCAGGTGGCAAATGTAGAAAGAGTTGCTTCCCTTTAAGTGCAAAAACTACAATTTATAAACATGTACTTGGATGTTTAATAAAAACTATCAGTAAATATCATTCAGAACCTGGGTATGCTATGGTTGAGGTAAATCAGACATTATTTGTTAAAATCAATATGATAAACTGGTGTAACTCAGCAACAGGAACACAGGTGTAGATTGGAACCAATAACTGGTGTAACTCAGCCACAGGAACACATGTGTAGATTGGAATCAATTGGTTGTCTGGGCAAGGAAACAACAAATTGAAAGTATTTTGTGTTTTTTGTCTGCAGAGCTTGGCTAATTTTCATCAGCATGATTGGATTCTAGATTTCAAAACATAATGTAAATTAATATGCTAATAATAGAGTTGAATTAGGTGAGGTATGTACTTAAACATATACATGTAAGTACAGATGTATTGCGATCTGGAGGCTCAGACATGCATGTTTTGATACAAATTAAAAATTCTTGTCAGAATCTCACCTTTTGAAATATTTTTCAACACCCAACACCCCTACCTCTTGTGTCACGGGTGGAGAAATAGTGAATAAAGCTCAGTTTGTTGATAGCGTAACATACTACTGTAGAAAGTTAAGAGCTGGAGAGCAAGGATAATGAAAAAATAATCAAGGTCTCTTTATTGCAATGATAGATCTGGAAACAAATTTGAAATATATAAGTTTGTTGGATTTCTTATTGAGATGTACATATACATTTTTTTAAAACTACTTGCA